ATTTTCCCTACTATGTATATATATATATATATATATATATATATATATATATATAAGGTAACTGTGACTTTATATTTCACAATTCAGACTTTTTGAGTATATATCTCATGATTCTGAGTTTATATCTTGCAGTTCTGTCTTGCAACTGTCCCACAATTCTGACTCGAAAAAGTCTGAATTGTGAGATATAAATTCCGTGGCAGCAATAAGATTCCATAAATATCAGTATCGTCGCGCCCACACCTGCTCTCAGCATTCAAAACTCTGTTGCATTGGGTCCTGAAGATCCCAACCTCTACCGAGATTAAAATATTAATATATGCAGAAATATGCTTCCATAGATATGTGCATAAGAAGCAGGAGAAAAAAATTACTAGTGGGACAAAACATAATTATCTAGTTAATCCATATTTTCTTTAAGTTTTTAACAGGAACAACAAAAAATAAATGATTTACAGGTGCAGGTTTGGACATTTTCAGTGTTTTTCATTGTATGCAACAGCGTACTTTTTTTTTAACCTGCTGCGACAATTGCAACAAGCACTTGAGATCTAAAGCGCTGTGTGTGGAGGGAAAAAAATAGGCTATGACACTGGAACGAGACTGAAAAATCTGTGTGTAGACCTCTTACTGCAGGCATTTGCGGACACGAGCGGGACAAAACGTGAAAGCTGTAGGCGTGAACAGGACAAAATATAACATATTTCTGTGGGAGCAGAATTGAACAATCCATCCCACCCAGACCTCTACAGTTTACAAGCACTTAATTTCGTCACTCGAAATGAATCTACCCGAATTCAGATTCTGAAAGATCTGTTTATATGAACCTTAAACGTTACAATCCAATTCACATATTTGTTTACATGTGCGTTATATACATTCCAAACTAAAATTCAGTGTATATGTGGGGCTCAGTTGCTGCGTATGAGAAAGCCACTGCGATAATGTCATTTCAATACGATTGAAATTTCATTCGGATCGAGCTCAGTCAGATTGATTGAGTTGTTTACATGAAGACTTTTCAGTCTGATTAAGCCTTCTGTCTGATTTTAACTTGAGTGCATTTAAATGTAGCTAGTGAGGCACTTACAATGGAAGCGAATGAGGCCAAACTGTATTAAAAAACTCACTGTTTAAAAAATATAGCCAGAAAACACAAACAGTATGAGTGTTAACATGATTTTAGAATGAAAAAACAGTTACTGACCTTTTTTGTGAATGCCCAATTTTGAAACTTTGTTGCCATGACAACATCAGCCTAAAACAACCATAAAAATGAAAATAGCCATTTTAACATACGTTTTAACAGAAAAAAAAAATGTAAGTGCTTTTGCAACATAAGCTTATAAAAGCTTACATAAAAGCACTTACATACATTTTTCATAATTCTCCCAAAATTGGCCCCATTCACTTCCATAATATATGCCTCATCATTCTTGCAAATGTTTGCTTTTTTTTATTTTTATAAAGAAAACAAAGGACAAGTACAATTTTTTTTTTTTTTTTTGTGGTGATCAACTTCACTTGTATTGAATCTGGAAGATTCTAGAATATCAGTCATATACTTTTAGGAAAGTCTTAATGCTGCAAACAGTTTTCATGCATAGATAGATCCCTTTATTAAGAAGGTCCGAGGTGTATGCCTATCAACCAGAGTCAAATTTGCTCTGTTTGCAAAAAGAAAAGAAAGAAAAGTAGATTTGAAAAATCTGATGATTTATTCAGTACTTCCAACATGATCCCTGCCTCCTCTTCCTATTCTGAACAAGCCAACATAAAATTCCCTCTCAGCCAGGGTGCATTTATAAAAGTGTATATTTATCGGGCAACGTCTGTCCTTGTTTCAAAAACAGGGCGTTAAATGTTCGATTGTTCTCTTTTTTATGATGACTTGCTTGCATGTTGTAATAGTATCGTTTTTAAATCATTTAAGGACAAAAAATCGAAGAAAGCACACTTAATCTGCAATAATGTTTTTGTGTTTGTGACCCTCTCTGGGGAAGTTGCGTCTGTATGTATGTGCGCTTTAAAACTCTCGTGGAACTTTGAACCTGTAAACGGCAGAATGCTAGTGGGCGGGGTGTTTTGAAAAAGGGGGAGGGGTTTGTGAAATTCTGACGTTTATAGATGCCATCGATTTTGATTTCCTGGACAAACTGAAGACCAGCTTTGGAGACTTTGCAGCCCCCCGTCTCTTTGGAGGGGCATTTTTCGTTTTTTGTGACAAGAAAATTGTGCATCTCTTTTGTAGAATGAGCTCTTTACTATCTGTAAGTCTGCTTTGTGTTCTGAGACTTGCTACTGCAGCCTACTTAAAAGAAGAAAAAATGTCAAGATAAATCCAGAGGAGTGTTACAGGGACGGCAGCATGTGTGCGTGTGTGCGATTGTGCTGAGGTGACTGTTTTGAACCCAAAAGTCCCCTCTTATCCGTGGCCTAACTGAAAAGACTGCCTGCCATTTTCTCTACACCGAGTCCTTGAGCTTTAAGTTGTGAGACATTTGCTGTAAATAGATAAGTGCTCTGTCTTTCCAGAATCAGTCCATGTTATAGACTCAAGTGAAATGTTTCATGTGCTGTAATGCATCAAAATGTGAAAACAGCGTTTTCTACGCTGTCAGTGGAATATTAATCCATGTTATTGGATTATTTCTATTTTTGTATAATTTTCCAGTTTATGGTTTTAATGAGCTCTACACCACTGGCAACTCTGACGCCAGATATGTAAATCTTTTCAATTCTTTTTAAAAGAGTTATAGAAATGTTTTGTCTTCAGTAGAAATAGTCTTGATTTCACATTTTGATATATCAACTTCTCTGTTCAGCCAACCCCTCGTTGTTCTTTTTTTTTTTTTTTTACTTATGACTATTTTGCACAGTCTGTGTGATTTTATTGGGTGAGGGCACTATTGAAGCGTTTTGTTAATACAATTAAAGCAATTACACCCAAGATGAAATTATAGACACATTTTGCATGCGCTGATGTTGATAACACAATAATTACACATGGAATGTGTTGATTCTTTCCCTCTCAGTTCCTGAAGCCAAAACACTGTGGCTCTGTGGTGTTTTCAAAACATTGCTATGTTTGTTTGAGTGGCCCAGCATAGCAACACTGGCTCAACCAATAGCAAGTGTTTGGAGGCGGAGCTGTCTGTATGTGTGACCAATGGCAGATGGAAGGGCTGGTAAGAGTGTTTTGAAAAGCTTTTTTTGTAAATTTTACTATTCTGTTCGGTTCCGCTAGTGGCACAGAAATTACACATTTAACTTTTAACAGCATTAAGAGGGAAAACAAATATTACGATTTGTCTGCCTTGGTGAGATTTTTGGTGACATTTACCTCACCTTCATGTTCTGTAGTATTATTAAATGATCGTAAAGCTGAAAGAGGGGCTGTGATTGGTTTGTATGAAAATATGTGTTAGTTCGCAGGCCTTTATTGATGAGGGGCGGAGTCATAATGATGTGATTGTATTCTTAGTAATGTGAGAGTATGAGTGGCATTATGTGGGATGAGGATTATGGGTACACAACGCTTAACCAGATTGTTAAAATGGTGAGCGACTAAGTTACATTTCCGTTTCAACGTGGACTACGGGGTCCTCTGTCCAGCTTCGGTTGAGATCTGTGCTCTTTTTGTCTTTAATCTGTCTCACTGATTTCACAGGGTCTTCTCTACCTGTGTATTGTTGTGCTGTGATTTTCGCTTGCAGTTTTCTTTATTCCCCTACAAACACACACACAAAAGATACTCTTGTGCGAGAGGACGCGTGAGTGTTTTCCTTTCTTGTAACTGTCCATAGAAAAATAAAACAGACGTATGGAGAAAAGAAGCGTGTTCTGACTCAGGACTGAGTTGTACATTTGTTTTCACTGAACTTGAAATGGGTGCTGCTCGTGGAACTGAGCGGCTCTGATGACTGCTGCTCAGCGATCCATTTTAAAGAATGTCCTTTCTTTTATTTCTGTCCATTTTGACAAGCAGGAAATTTAAAAAAATGTACCATTATCGAATTTTGTCTTCTGTGATGTTTGCAGTGAAGCAGCAATGAAATACAGAATTTACTTTGTTAAGCAACAGAGGATCTACATGACTTTTTTTTTTTTGGTTTTGTTTCAAATCAAAATGATTTTTTTCCTTGGAACAAGTACAAGAGTAGCTCAGCTAATAAACACTCATTTTGAAGAATGTGCTGATTGATATTTTTCATTTATTTAAAATGAATAGTAACTGGAGATTTGAAGCTTCAAAAGGGACACAAATGCACTATAAAAGTATCATAAAAGTATGATTAGTGTGTATGA